ATGCAAGTAACTAGAGCTCTTCATGGCATCACTAATTACTAACTAGTGGACCTCCTTTCTATCAAATTCAGCAAGCTCTTTCTAATTCTCAAGTGAAGCTCCAGTCAAAGTAGAAAAGACTGGAATTGTTTGGTCATCCCTAACACGTTAAAGAATACTTATTGCTCATCAGTTGAATAGAAAAACCAGCCAAAAGATACTTGAAGCATACAACTTTTGCACCAATATTAAATTGTGCGCCAGAGTGAATGACCACATCCTTGTCTTTGTCATGCCGACACATTCAAGGAAACCTTGTAACAAATCTCAACAGTAGCAACTACTCAAAAAAATAAATATACAAAACAAAACAAAACAAAACCCACACAGATAACTGAATTATGAAAAGATTTCGCATCAGGGTTACCTGGTCCGCCAAGATTCCCTCTTTCATTTTTCCAGTCAGTCACTATGGAATTAGCTATAGATGCATTTTCTCTTGCAGTATCTGACGGCATATCTGCTTACAACCTCCTGCCGGAAAAAAAGGCAACAGAACGACAGTAAAATTAGGTTTAAGAGTACAAAACCTCAAAGAAGATAAAATAATATATATCAGAAGGTAAAATGAGGAAAACTTCGGAAATTAAAACCTCCCTAGAGTAAATAATCACATTAGGTTGTATATATTAGGTTGACCACTCAGGCTGTATATGTTAGGTTGAGGAGCATAGGACATATGTGTTTAGAACACGATAAAAACAAATAAAGAGACTGCAATGAGCAGGCTTGGCTCTCTGTCATACTGTATGAAGATCATCATTTAGTATATAGGGAAGCACATAACTCCTTGGACAGCTAGAAATATGGAACACTAGATGAAAATTCTCAGATGAAATCATTTATAAATGTCACAACAGTATACCCAGTGTAATCCCACATGTGGGATCTGGGGAGGGTAGGATGTACTCAGACCTTACCCTATCTTTGTGGGGTAGAGAGGCTGTTTCCAATAAACAATTAATCACAAATCAAATCCAAAACTAATACACATCATCAACCTTCAAAGAAATAGAGTTTGATTATCATATGGATTCTATTGTGGCAACTGGGAACATGGCATTCCAAAGAGCAGCAAACTGAAATATCTAGAGAACTCATTCGTGCCAACTAACTGGAACAAAGAGAAAATTGCAGAAAAAAGTTTTTAGTACTTTGTTTTAGGTTTTCAATGTCCATATCAAGTAGTCATTCCAAGATATATCATATAGCATATGTAAGAAAAGTAGAAACCAACTTACAAGACAAAGGTCATTTAACACAATTTGAGGACCAGCATTCTACACTTATCCTCCTAATTATGCATTCTCTCATAGCAAATATTGAGATTTCTAAAGATATAAAAGAGTCTAACCCCATCCAGAATCCAAACCCTTCGCTTGTGTAAGGCAATGACCAAATTCTTACTACATGTGGCACCAGAGTTGTTCATGACTTACAGACTGAACTTCAGATTCATTAGCTTTTAAATTAAAGTTTTAGATTTAAACTTTAGTCTACTTTCATCCATTTTCTTTCACTTACACCCTCATCATTTGGTTTAGCAGTTCGAGTTTTACGCACCTCTTGATTCATTGCAGAAGTGTAAGGGTAAAGTCTCTCTTTCATGAACAACTTTTCTCCTTTTCGATTCTTAATTTGATATTTCCCCTTCTTCTTCTTCTTCAGTTTCCCTTTTCATTTCTCATATCTCTGCTCCTTTCAGTCTTGCTATTTGCTAATTGCAACTGCTAAACTCTTAAACATCCAACAGTGTGTCAGAGTGATACTTAGAGTACATTCTTCAACATTTTAACATAATGCTCACTATTTCGAGAGACTTCAACTAAAATATACAGCTAAAGTCTATTCATCTTTCTCTATGAAAAAAAAAAGAAGGAAAAAACCCTCAAACAACAACAATATAACCAGTGTAGTCTCACAAAGTGGGGTTTGGGGAGGGTAGAGGGTACACAAAACCCTTACACCTACTTCATAGGTAGAGAGGTTGTTTCGAATAAACCCTCCACTCAAGGAAAACAGTCCAAAGCACTCCCAAAAAGAAGTAACGGAAGTACAAGAAACAACAAATAATAACAAAAACAATGATAGTAACAGAACAGACACTACAAAACAACAATACCATAATAGAAGTATAAGGAGATAGTACCAGAAATCGAAGGACATGAAACTAAGAGCTATACTACAACTACTACTACGAACGGACAGCACACACTTCTACCTAGTACCTACTAACCTTCTACCCTAACTATGTCCTCCACACCCTCCTATCTAAGGTCATGTCCTCAGCAAGCTAAAACTACGTCATCTCCTATCTAATCACCTCTCTCTCTCTCTAATACTTATCCAGTCTACCTCTACCTCTCCTCAAACCCACATGATTAAACAATTCAGTCTACAAATTCTATTTATAAACAATTCATTTACAATTTCAACATAATAATAAAATGCTCACAGAATTCAATAAGAACTCCAACTGACCTCCGGGTCATTCACCCCCCAGAAACCCACATGATAAAACAATCCAATCTGCAAATTCTTTGCTTAAAAATGATTCATTTACAACTACCACATTATAATAAAATGCTCACAGAATTCAATAAGAACTCCAACTGACCTCCGGGTCATTCACCCCCCAGAAACCCACATGATAAAACAATCCAATCTGCAAATTCTTTGCTTAAAAATGATTCATTTACAACTACCACATTATAATAAAATGCTCACAGAATTCAATAAGAACTCCAACTGACCTCCGGGTCATTCACCCCCCAGAAACCCACATGATAAAACAATCCAATCTGCAAATTCTTTGCTTAAAAATGATTCATTTACAACTACCACATTATAATAAAATGCTCACAAAATTCAATAAAATCCAACCTACTTTTACAACAGTTCATTCATCTTTCTTTAAAGAAAAAAAAAGGAAATCCCACATGATAAAATCACTCAATCAACAAAAAAAAAACTATTACTTTACAGCCAAAACAACTTCGGAATTACACTTTTCATCATTCATTCGAACAAGTTAGAAACTGAATGAACAAAAAGATATCAATTTTTTCCATGTAAACTTTGGTTTCAGTGTTTTTTGAAGTAATTTTATGCCGCGAAACTGAAAAAGGAGAGAATTTACCTTAAAAATCACAGAAATAACTCCGGTTGAAAGGAGAGAGGGCAGAATAGCGAAACAGTTTTCCAGATGGAGATAAAGCTGTGCCCTAATTTTTCTGTCCCAAAGACCCAATTTGGCCCAAATAATTATATATTTGTTTTTGTTTCATTTAGAAGGAAATAAGAAATTATAATTATAATATGGTTAAAAATAATTTAACACAATAAAGATAGTGATAGGATATTATTTGGACAAGAAGATTTATTTAATCTAATTTTAAAAAATAAAATCTTAATTAAAAAAGACATACTTCTAATTATTCATAAAGGTAATTAAGGAGATTTAATATGAGACGTCTTCACAAAAACAAGGTGATACTGATCCATTTTAATCATGATTAAATTTGATAGATTTGACTGATATTATTATTTTGGCAAATATTAAATATTATTTTTAAAATATATATATATATATATAATACTCACTTTTGATATTCAAATTTCATTTTTGTCTATTCCCTCCCTTCTCTTATAATCATCGTCGTCATCTTCCTTCAGTTTTTTTTTTCTTTGTTGTTGTTATTACTTCAAATCCTTCTTTTTTTTCTCGGTCTTCAAAGCAACAAGTTCAATGAGAAGGTATAAGCAAGAATTTTGCCTTAAGTTGGACTCCAATGCGATAGAATTAATATTATTAGATTGCTTAAGAGACTTTTCGACAACTCAAGAAAGAAAATTCACTTTTAAAGCTCTTCTAACTAAATAAATAAAGAGGAGTTTAGTTACAAGTCTTTAGAAAATGTAAGTAACTTTTGGGACATTTCCTTGAAAAGGAGATTGTAATAACATGTAAGGAACATGTATAAAATATGAACTATTCAGCCTCTAACAACAAAGAAACTCATGTGTGGAGACAAAATTGATCATACCAATAAAAACAAACAACTCTTTCTTATGCATGCGAGTATTTTTATAAAAAAGAAAGTAAAATAAAATAAAATTATGTGCAATTGGTTGCTAAGAAAGCTTAGCAAAAAATTGAACTTGTAAAATTTCTGAAAAATAACAATTGATTTTTTTTTATTGATGGTAAAACTAATATTTAATTGTTTCATATATACTTGGCATGATACCTAATTTAGAAACTAAAACTAGTTGCTAGTGAAAATCACATAACAAAGAGCTAAACAAACTGATAATCAACGAATATGCTGAGCAAATTTTGCATAATCAAAGAGAATTTTATTCTATTAAATCACTTAAAAAATAATTATATGTAACTATATCAATAATTAGTGAGGTCACTCAACTGAAAAGTAAAACAAATAAATTGTTATAGCACATATTATTGAATGTGTGAAGATAAAATTCATATTAATAGTTTAGAAGAAAAGTAAATTACTTATAAAATGTTTGATACTCTAAATAACGTGAAATCTTTTTTTAAAAAGCTACATCAAAAATGAAATTATACATATTATTTTAAAATAACCAAACACGGAATAAAATAATCATAACGTATTATTTTGAAATTATTATAACAACCCCCGCACCCCCCAAAGTGGTATGGCCTATCACATATGGCCTTGATAGATCAATCTTACGTGGCAGATACATGAAAGCAACAAGCAGCCACGTGTCAACCAAATCTAGGATCCTAGATTCTTGATAACATCATGAAGCTGACTTGGCAGATTCTGTTACATCAAATAACTGCTAAAAAATGGAAAATTGATTTTCTTGAGTTTTATCAACACAAAAAAGTTTCATAATTTGTATTCACAAGTGAAATTTTAAATTCATTTCTCTTGTTAACATTTTTTCAGATGAGCTCATTCCATCTAACAATTTCAATGCAATTTACTAGTTATTGCACATGAACGAATTTATCCCGATAGAATTTTAACCAAGAAAACAAAAAAGTTTTTGTTTTTTTCAATTTTGAATACCCTCCACACATTCATCACGTAACCTTATCTTCATCGTTACCAAAACCCCATCAAATTGCCACTTAACAAAAAAAAATTCACAAATGCAATATTCATTTCTACACTCCATCCATCTCCGCCAGAAATGGCCACCAAATTTGGATTCACTATAACAACAAGCAGTCGCCTTTTTCATGCTCCGTTTAGAAAAAAACCAATTTTTTCTCCCAATTCTGTAAGCCCTTTGATTAATTTTGGTGGAAGAAAGTTATCTATTCGACGTAGGCTATTGTTTCTCTCTCCTAAGGCCACCACCGATCAGCCAGGTAAGTTAACCTCGAGTTATTATACAATAATAACTGGAGTTCATAGTCAAATATTTAGTGGAGTTTTTGATACTATAGAGAGTTCGGGCAAAAGCTACTGAATTCGGCAACCCATAAGTTTCACTTTGGATCCTTGCTTAGCGGTGGAACCAGGATTTTGATTGAGGGGATAAAAATACGAAAAATTCAAAGGGTTCAACATCTGCTATATATACATAAAAGATGATTTCAACCGTGTAATTTTCCACTAGAGGGTAATTCGGACAAACCCTTCAGTCCTACTTGGCTCCGACTCTGCCACTGCATGTTTTTTTTCTTTATGATGTTAGTTAGAAGTATTTTAATGATGCTTTAGAGGCGGAGTCATGATTTGAACTTATAGTTCATTTACAGTCGAACCTATAGCTTATTTTAGTTAGTGGGGTTCATCGCAGCTTATTAATACTACAGCTCTGCCCCTAGATGTTTTCAACCTACTCTCCTTCCCGACAAGAAGGGATGTGAGGCCTTTTGAGAAAAATCGTGTAGGCTTGATATATAGGACGGTATGACTCCATGTTAAGAGTATCTTTAGGTTGTTTTAGGCCAACAAAAGGATCGGTTATTTGAATCTTATTTTGAAAAGTTAGAGATTAATATTATCACTATTGTATGTTGATTAATGGATATTGAAATTGGTTATGCTAATTTCAATTTGATTGCTATAGTAGTAAATTCATATATTTAATTGACATAATACATTAACTTGGACTCAACTGTCCTCCAACTTTGGGGATCTCAGGTCAGGTCAAGGAGGATGAGATTGAAGACAGTAAAATCTTGCAGTACTGTAGCATTGACGGTAAAGGAAAGAAGTCTCTCGGGGAAATGGAGCAAGAGTTTCTTCAAGCACTACAAGTACTTAAGCATCTACGATCTCTTATCTTTTGTCTTAGCTTCTATCAACATTAATTGCACTCTTTCCTGGCGTTGTACCACAGTCATTCTATTATGAAGGAAAGGCCATGATGTCAAATGAGGAATTTGATAACCTTAAGGAAGAATTAATGTGGGAAGGAAGCAGCGTCGTCATGCTAAGTATGGAAGAATTTCTGTATTATACATTGTCTAAATGATGATATGGTATTCGTATTTTTGTCTGATCAGGACTTAAGTAATAGCGGTTTCTCACTATATATGCAGGCCCCGATGAACAGAGGTTTCTCGAAGCTTCTATGGCTTATGTATCTGGAAATCCAATTATGACTGATGAAGAATATGACAAGCTGAAGATGAAACTTAAGGTGCACGGACATTAATTGTTCGTATTATGTCCAAACGACTCTTTAGTCTTTTCTGTATTGACATCTTTTAATTTTGTAGAGGGATGGCAGCAATATTGTGGTTGAGGGTCCAAGGTGCAGTCTTCGAAGTAGAAAGGTTTGTACTTCTCTGCTCGATGGGATTTACTAGTCTTATTATAATTCATATTCATCTTTCATGTCGTGTTCTTCGTCTTACATCTATGCAAGATGTCTACGAGGTTAAGTCGTTGGTTGATGGACTTTACTTCGTGCAGGTTTATAGTGACCTTTCTGTTGATTATCTGAAGATGTTCTTGTTAAATGTCCCTGCTGCTGTTGTTGCTCTCGGATTGTGAGTAATACTTGACTGTTTTACGATGTTAAAAGAATATGTGAACTAATGATACCACACATATCCGCTCACGAAGCAACTAGCATGATTTTTCTGTTTTGCCAATGTCTTGCTAGGTTTTTCTTCCTAGACGATTTGACTGGATTCGAGATCACTTATCTTTTGGAGGTACGCCTGTATTGGTCCTTATTTCATTGCTAAGGTATCAAACTCTTCAAAAATACCGCTGGGTGTATGCTGAATCCTCCAAAAGTTACACCTTTTTGGAAGATGTAAAACGGCTGGGGCATCATTTTTGGAGGGTCCGAGTAACATAACTAGCTAGATGAAAGATCAGAGTATTCATTAGACTTTGTAATGATATAATTTATCGATTTGCAGCTTCCGGAGCCTTTCAGTTTCATTTTCACATGGTTTGCTGCTTTGCCATTGATATTATGGCTATCCTTTACAATCACAAATGCCATTGTTAAAGATTTTCTCATCTTAAAGGTAACATTTCAGGCGTGCGTAGTATTATCTTATAAGCTATATGTGTTTGACATTTAACACAAAATAATCTCCATCTTTAGGGCCCCTGTCCGAATTGTGGAACAGAGAATACTTCCTTCTTTGGTACAATATTATCGGTATCTAATGGGGGTTCCAGCAACAAAGTAAAATGCTCATGGTAAGTTGACATTAACACTTTAGTTTTTCGGTGTTTATCATGATCTATTCATAGTGTAATCGTCATCTTCCGCAGTTGTGGGACAGACTTGGTCTATGATTCAGATACGCGTTTGATTACATTGCCTGAAGGAAGTAGTGCATGATTCGAGGTATATACCTAGCCTTTTTATCTATTATAACCTATGCTGCTCAGATTGTTTAAAAGTACCACCAAGTGTGTGTCGAAATCCTCCAAAAGCATTGCATTTTTGGAGGATCCTATATAGGTGCTTCAACAGTTTTGGAGAGTCTGAGAGATAATATATTATCGCTTGTATGGATAAGTATAATATATCAGAGGGGGAGGGGGATCCAGGACTTTAACTTATAAGTTCCGGACCACAACCCCTTTTGTTTATTGGGTTCTCTGAATATATCATTTATACATATTACGTGAATTTCATAACACAAATACATGATTTGAGCCAATCGCCCTTAATATATGTGCTTCCTTCGTATAGAAAACCCGTTCCGTTTACTGAATTCTTGCAAACTGCAGGATGATTTTATATATGGAGATATCTGCACAAGAGATTTGCTCTTTTAACACAAGCTGCGCATGGAAGAGAGACCATATGATGCAGTTTGTGAAAATGAAAAACAAGTTCAGTATTGAATTTGTGAATGATTTGCAACTTGTATTGTGTGAATATGTTATGTAATGTATTGTGTGTGACTATAAGTTTATCAATAAAAAAAAAAACAGTTTTTAATGAGCTTTTCTTCTGATGTTATTTTATCATATGAAAAGGCTTAAACATGTCATTAAACTATCGAGAATGAAATGACCTATCCATGTCACCCACTAATAGTTGGGCATAAAAACTCCACTGCCCACCGCTGTGATAGGCATATTACATAAATATGCCCTTTAACTTGGCTTCAGCTAACATTACGCCCTCCAGCTTTGGGTTGTACAAGTAGACACTTAAACTTGTTTAAAATTGAACAAGTAGACACACACGTCATAATTTAAGTAGGATGCCACAAAGGAAACGAAAATGTCACGTAGAATGTGTCTATTTGTTCAAAAATGAGTTCTCCATTATTTGTAGAAAACAATAAATCAAGAAAATGGCACTGAATAACAATAGTAATGTACAACATGTAAGTTTATAACCTGCCAGCACGTTTCTATGAAACATAATTAATTTTCAAATGCCAAAGTTGACTTATAAAGGTTACATTGTTCGTGTTGGCACGAAGTGTTACATTTTTGTAACATAATTTATACACACAAAAAAAAACTATATATTAAGGTCTTATATCTTTACAAAAATCAAATAAGCCATTACAATTTGCTTGATTGTAAGCTAATTTTTCATGGCCTCTTTTCACCATAGATGGAGTTTGACAATGTTCTTGGTGGTTGCAACATTAGCAATCATCGATCGAGCAAATGGCGCGGGCTATGGTGACACCCCTAGGGGCTTTCAAGCAACAGCTTGGCAACCCTCTCATGCTACGTTCTATGGCGATGAGAGTGCTTCAGCTACCATGGGTGCGTTTACTTGATCGATAAACTATTTTGATTTATATTCATTATTATGACGTTTTACATATATAAATAGCGAAAATTCACGTAGAAGTATTGCCTTATTTTAGCAATGAGTGATATTATTATGGTGGAATATGTTTGTATAAAAGCATTTCATTATACTACCATACCAATTGTAGACATCCTCAATATTTATTCTAATGATTTAAGTTATATATATGGGTAAGTACAAAAGTATTTTTACACACTATCAATAAATTTTAATTTGTGATAGCATGTTATACTACTAGAAAACACGGATTCTTTAAGGACATTTTCATTGCGTAAATATTCTTTTTCTATTGGTCAGTACGTAGAATTTAAACTCTTACTTCAACTTATTAGACCTACTAGACAAATCTAAAAGATCGCGCATTTCATTAGCACCAACACAATCTTTTACAAGAAATGCGATAGTAACCCTATGTCACTCTAGAATCTCTAAGAAGGATGTCACATCAATATTGTATCCTCTAAAAATACATTATTTTTGAAGGAATCACTACGTGTCAGACTACATTTTTAAAGAGTCCAAGCAACATAGCATTAACCTGCAAAATAAGACATATTACCTACAACAACAACAACAAAACTCAGTGTAATTAATCCTGCAAGTGAGATCTTGGGATCAGGGTAGAGTGTATGCAGATGTTGCCCCTACCTTGAGAAAATAAAAGGTCTGTTTTCGATAGATCCTCAGCTCAAAGAACTATAAAAGATTAAAACGCTCTAATAGTGAAATATTTTCTTGTTAACTTGCGAAATAAGATAGATTACCTGCTACAACAGATAAAAACACACTAATTAATAATGTGAAATCTTTTTGTAGGGGGAGCTTGTGGATTTGGAAATTTGGTCACATCAGGTTATGGAACAGATACAGCAGCATTGAGCTCAGTATTATACAACAAGGGATTTGCATGTGGACAATGTTTCCAAATAAAATGTGTGCAGTCAGACTCTTGCTACTCAACAATTGTAACAGTGACAGCAACAAATCTCTGTCCACCAAATCCTGCACAAGACAGTAACAATGGTGGTTGGTGTAATCCACCTAGAACACATTTTGATATGGCCAAACCTGCTTTCATGAAAATTGCTCAATGGAAGGCTGGAATTGTCCCTGTTTCTTATCGCAGGTAAATGATTCATTTTGTGGTTGAACATTTAATATTGGCATAATACATAAACAGACACTCAGTCTTGGTTTTAGCAGGTAAGTAAGCACTCTAATTTTGAGTATGCATATCTCAACTCGTCTCCACTCTCTCAGTTGAACATTCCAACTTACAAAATGATATAATTTAGACACCTCCAAAATTTATGTGTCACCGTGTCGGGTGTCCATGATACATAGTGGGAATGAGTTAGAGTGTTTAGTTGTCAGTTGGGACCAAGTTGAGGTGTTTAGATGTATGTTTTCAAAGTTTGAGTGCTTACTTGACAACTGAGGTCAAGTTTGAGTGTCTACTTATGTATTATGTCTTTAATATTTTAGCGACTATCAAAGGTTGTGGTGGAGTTGTAAGTACTCCTCCAACCAAAGGTCTCGCTTTCGATCCCTAGAAATGAAGTCGCCTTTAGTAGAGAGAAAGTTTTACCCCCTTATAATAGGACTTTTCAGTGAGAATCTGATTAATCGGGCACTAAAGTAATTGGATGGAAAACTAAAAAAAATCAACATATTAATCTTTGTTTTATCACATGATTCTTGATATTTGTTTTGGGTCCTAACTATTTCGGGCTTCGTGTAAGACTCATTAAAAGAGGAAGTACTGCATATTAGGATTTTCTTCCATTCCTAGGGCTTGATGTGTTACTTACCTTAGATGCTGCAAAAACAAACTTTTAAGGCGAGTTTTTTTGAGTTAAATTTAATTTGTTGCCATCAACTCAAACTATAAATATAAGTGTAGCAAGAAATTTTTAAAAAAAATATGTATACCTATAATGAAATATAACATCAGAGATGGTGTAATTTTCCGAGAAAAGAATTTCAATAGACACCCTTTGGACAAACACAAATACACTTGTGCTTAATATGCGTTTAAATAAAACAAATTGATAATTATATAATAGTGGTAGAATCAGTTGTGTGCACCTCGATTATTCCATCCGACATTTACTACCTCTAACATGTACCATTGCTCTCATGGTTGTAGGGTACCCTGTGTTAAAAAAGGTGGAATCAAGTTTAGTCTCCAAGGAAATGGGTATTGGTTATTGGTATATGTGATGAATGTTGGTGGAAGTGGAGATATTGCAAGTATGTGGGTGAAGGGAACTAAAACAAGTTGGTTAGCTATGAGCCATAATTGGGGAGCTTCATATCAAGCATTTGCAACTCTAAGTGGCCAAACACTTTCTTTTAAGATCACTTCTTACACATCTAAAGAAACAATTATAGCTACTAATGTTGCACCTTCTAGTTGGCAAGTAGGAATGACTTATCAAGCCAATGTCAACTTCAACTAATGATCATGTAGTCCTATGTTTTTTTGGACTTCTCAAGCATTTATTCTTGATTTTTTCAATATTATTTCTCGAGTTTTATTTTGCGATTTGATCTTGTAATAGTTGATACTAAGTAAGAACAAATGATCCAATGGATTCATATAGCCGATCTCAAAATATAGTTTTTCTCAATTCATATATAAGACTACATTACATTGATGATTTTTTAAATCATCTCTCAAACAGATGAGAATACAAGAAACAATATTGAATTTGTTGGAAAGTAGAAACAAACTAGTACTATATGTTATTATGAAGTAATTATTATTCTTCTATGTGCTGACAATAATTAAAAGAGTACAAGCCAATTTCATGGAAGTTACATCATACTAGGACTTATCTTCAATGACCATTGGCAAGTCCATTCTCAGTACATTTCTTGGCATAGAATCTTCTGTACTTCGAATCGACTTCTGTGAGGTAGTAAGTACCTGGAGCTAGAAGGCTGCAATCTTTGCTCGTCACAAAGTCCTTACCCCCATACCTGTGCTCCATTATTTTCATCGTTTCGATGAAATTTTCAGGAGTGAACTGCACAAAAGATTGTTTGTCAAAGATAGTTAAGGAACTCAACCGTCACAGTGTTGGCAACGAGTTCAACATCCATGAGTAAATTATAAAGACGATTTTATCATACCTCATGCCTCGACTTCAATTTCTCTTCAACGTTCATCACAACTGCAATGTTTGACAAGTTAAAAGGATGTTGACCTTCGTGAAGTTTTAATGAGAACATTGTTGCAGTCAACCCACTCCCGTAAGAGAACAAGACTACTCGCTGTCCAGCCTGAGTTGACAAAATCATTTGAAATTATAAGAAACACGATAGATTATAGCAAGAAAACAGGCCAAAAGGAAAATAAGTAGCTCGTAGTTACCAATGAGCTGTGCTTGTTGTGAAGGAGGGATGCAAAAGCAGCATAGAGAGACGCGGTGTACATGTTGCCAACTTGTTTTGGTACTAATGTGGTCGGTTTTACCTTCTTGTCATAAAATGGTTTTGCCACTTGCCAGGATGTCTGTATATGCAATAGTTAGTTAGTTCCAATCTCAACATATATAATTGTTAAGGCAATTCTTCCTACTGAAAGCTTCATTTTCAGCGTTCTAAACATATACTGGAAGATCAAAACGAAGCCATTTGAAAATGAAAAAAAAGAAGACAATATTTCTACGAAATCAACGAATATGAAAGCTTATGTATGGACCTTCTCAAGATCACGGCTTTGATAACTCTCATCACCAGTTAGGGATGAAAATGGTGCCAGCTTTTCTTTAGTAGACTCATCAATGGAACTGCAAATGCAAAATCGAATAAGATCAGTCAACTGAATTCCGTTTACAAAATAAAAAGCAATTCCTTTAGTACGGAATATGTGCAACCCACCTAGCGTTCCTTGTAAAGTCATTGAACATCAACCGAGCAGTGCTCTTCTGTACAAGCTGCAGGATTAAATAAAACAAACGTTCAGGTAATCCTTATCATCACAAAGAAAAAAGATCAAAATTCTGTATTGGATCCATAAAGTACCTTGTTGTATGGTGAATGGAAAACAAAATAGGCTGCATCATCAATCGAAAACTGCTTGCCGTCCAATTTTTCGTATCTAGAATGTGAACAAAGAGATTATTAAAGACTATAATAGAGAGGTTCGTTTGGAATACTAGAATGTGTGCTCAACCGGCAGCTTACTTGTTACATAAGCTCTTGTAGCAAGAATCAAGTGCCATAAGATAACAAGTTTGTGAAAGCTTGCCATCAACCACCTGCAAACCAACAATTAATTACCAATTAACCATCATATAGAGCACATATGGAAATTCATATACCAATAAACAATTTCCTATATATTTCTTTTAAATTTTGTCCAGTAACCAACATATCAAAGCACTCCTGTGTAAAAACGGATGATTAACGATTGCATGGGCTTAAGTGAATTACTGGATATTCACTGTCGAGGATGGGCTTGTAAAAATCATAGACATGGGCCATATGGCTAGCCCTAATCTTGCTTTCGAACACAATAGGAGCATCTGGCCCGACTAGCATAGCAATTGCTGCAGCACCTCCAGTAGGCCGAGCAGCTCCCTCAGCATAGACCTGTCAAAATAAGCTCCTGAAATTAGTGAATGTTTATCATGCAGATGCTCAAATTCATCACAAATATGTACCAAATGAGCAATGCAAACTCAATATTTTGAAAGACAACACACATGCTGTAGAAATTCTATGAATGTGATGAGCTTACCGCACTATCAGTGCATACAACGAGTCCATAGCGACCATCCCATGAAGAGCTCTCGACCCAATTCACACAGTTGAACAATGCGGCAGTTCCCCCATAGCATGCATTAGTTGAGTCGACTCCTTCAATGTCAGTATTTCCACATGTCTGCTTGTTTGACACAGTAAGGAAGCAGGATAAGTTTTCATTGAACAAAATTCCTGTTAGTCATAATGTAAAGCTCTGCTTGTGAAGTGGAATGTCAAGTGAGACAAAAATAAATCACATACAACAACAATAATAACTACGTGTCAAGCCTCAAACAAGTTGAGCGGGTATATGAATCCCCACTTCTTCATTTAAGTTCATTTCATATTATCGTAAGACAAAACAGATGCAACAATCAATGTTTAAGGATGATGTACAACAAACAATAAACTCACTTTTTTCAACAAACAGGATGAGCAAGTGCATTCAGGGCCAAAAAGTTAACATTACAACATATTTCAGGCAGAATTAAGCAGATCCAACATTTGAAATCTCTGTCCTAATACTTGACTGCAAGATATATTCATCATCTTGAGCTAGTGTGTAGTGAATACATCTCTAACTATCTAGTTTTCATTTTGGTCGATCAATCGGTTTGCTTATATGCCAGAAGTCTAGGATACAAGTCATAAAACACATATTCGATTCATTGAACGTGCCATGATAGACGATTTACTAAACAAGCATTGCTAGAACTGTGTACCTCAAATATTTGCATCAGGAATGTCTTGATGGATTTGCTCTTATCAATTACGGTTTCACTTCCAACCTCTAGACGACCAATTTGCTTTGGATCAATAGCATACTTCTCCAAAAGGGAAGTAACTGCTGTCAAACTGAGCATGAACAATTTAATTAGAAAACAGTACAGTGACAAAAATTACAATGATAAATTTATCATGTTGTTCATCTAGCAGAAGAAACTACTAACACCTTCAAACTACATACTTCAGAATATAAAGAACTAAACACGCGGATTAGTGTTTATCTACATAAAAAGAAAAATATGACCAATTTATGCAATGTAATTTTCCGACGAGGGAGACATACCTCATTGATATAACATCTTCCACCTCGGTGCAAAAGCCCATACAATCTTGTCCAAGACCAATTGTGTATTTCCCTTTGCTTGCTCCATCATGAGCCTCCAATGCTTCCTATATAATGCAAAACAAAATGAATTTTTTTCTTTTTCTTTTTTTGCAAGTGATCAGAATTTAATTGCCTTAAACTTGTCTCAATTAACAGAGTAAAAATATAATAATTTAATTGTCTCAATTAACATGACATCTTTTCTTTTTAGTCTGTCCCAAAAAAAATCATTTTTTCATAATTAGAAATAACTTTACTTTAAATTATTATCATAGTCACACATATATCTAAAATTTGTTTTATCCCACAAATTCCAAAAGTCTTTCATTTTTTTTAAACTTTGTGTTAAGTCAAAACTGTACAACATAAATTGACTCGGAGGGAATAAAGTTTATGCTCATATATGCACTATTAGGCGGAGCTTTCTATGAATCTCTATATGAAACAATTAAGGGATTTTGAACAAAAAAAAGAGATTAAAAAAAAGCATTTAAGGAATATTTTACCAGAAATAAAACAAATGAAAAAAAGATATTCTAATTTGTTTTAAAAAAAAAGACAATAAAGAAAAGAAAATTCCGTATAAGAAAGTGACAAAAATTAAAATTTCCCAAATTCTCAACCAACTTAAAGCACTTAATATAGTATGCTAAGCATTCAAGTAATTAACACACATATCTATAAATAGCCTGTTTGGCTAAATTTCAAAAATAAGCTTGTACTATTTTTTAAGTGAAAAATAATTTGTGTCCATTTGAAAAACAATTCTAAACTTTTCAAAACTGTTTCTAATTTTATTTTTTTTCAAAAAGTACTATCGGAATTTATTTTATTTTATTTTTTAAGCTTCAAAAACAACTTTCAGTTAGTATTTTCTCCAAAAATTTGACTAAACACTAAACAGCTCAAATAAGCATTTCCGATCTCTTAAAAACTTAACCAAACAGGCCGTTAGTTTCACAAGTGTATGTGTATGTGTGAGAAAGAGAAAGTACCTGCTGTAGGCAAGTAGGAGGAAAGTAAATCTCGACGGCGAGAATTCCGACATTCTTCGGCTGAGCTGCCATTTTCTGATTTCCGATTTCTTCTCTTCGACTATTATCAAACAGTATTAAACTGAACAAATCGAAATAACCGCCGGCGAACACACACACACACACGTACTCTTTCTTCTCCGAGTCGATGTTAAACTGAGCAGATCGGAATAACCGCCGGTGAACACACCGTTTTCTCTCACTCTAAATCTCCTCGAATTGAGCGCCGGCGAACACACACTTTTTTGTTTTGCAGAAGAGAGAGAAAGGCGAGTGATGATTTGTGCTTATAAGGCTTTCACATATTTATACTAACCGGAGAGTGGAGACTGCTAAGAAATTTTCCATTTTGATATTCCGCAGACTTATGAAGAAAATAAATATATACATAGTTCGGCAGACATGTATACATGTGATCGTGGAGGAAAAGTATATTTATCCAAAAGGTATTTCCCTCTAATTTATGTGACACATTTTATTTTTTGAGTCAAATAATTTAAATTTGATTGAAAATTTACATGTAGAATCTTCAATTATTTTAAAATAAAATTTATATATTTGTAAAAAGTATTATAAGCCACAATAATTAATAATTAAAAAATTTACAGTTAAAGATAA